TGAATTAAAGGTCTCAGCTACCAGGCCATAAAATACATTAAAAAATATTTTTAACCGACATCAAAAAAGGAGGTTTTCAATTCGACGGTATGTCTTTTTTTATGTTTGTCACCTCATAACTTTCGAATGGGTGAATCGATTTTGATGATTCTTTTTTTTATAAGAAAGCTGACGCTTCCCGTGTAGTCCCAATTTGTTCCAGTTCTGATAATGGTATCCACGAGAAAACCATATAAGTCTTAAATTGGCATTAAGTACGTGCCCGACCCTGGTAACCGTACTCGTCGAACTCGGCAAAGAATTCGACATGCAAGCTAACCTAACAGCCTGGCCACGGGACATTCGCCGATACGAATATTCGCGCGGTGCGAACGGCGAAGCGTCTAGCGACTAAAATAAGAGCATAGAAATGTACCTAACAGCCTGGCCACGGGACATTCGCCGAGACGAATATTCGCGCGGTGCGAACGGCGAAGCGTCTAGCGAATAAAATAAGCGCATAGAAATGTACCTAACAAGCCACGCGCACCGGCGACCGGCGAAGCGACCGGCGAAATGTACCGAGCGAATCGCGCGATGCGGCGGGCGAGCAAAACAAATGCATGAATACGGACGGCGCGAGCCACGGAGTCGAGCGGTAGTCGCGGCGAATAGTGCAGTGATTAAATGAGTTTAGTTGTTTTCGCCGCGAAAAATTAACGCCGAAATTTTTATATTTTTTATTTATTTTTTATTTTATATTTTTAAAGTCGTCGTGGCCTAACGGACGTCCGGTGCAATCGTGTTGAGCGATGCACCGGTGTTCGAATATCAGGCGGGTACCAATTTTTGTAATGAAATACGTACTCAACAACACTCAACGTTCACGATTGATTTCCACGGTGAAGGAATAACATCGTGTGATAAAAATGAAATCTTCAAAATAATAATTTGCGTAATTACTGGTGGTAGGACCTCTTGTGAGTCTACACGGGTGGGTACTACCACCCTGCCTATTTCTGCCGTGAAGTAGTAATGCGTTTCGGTTTGAAGGGTGAGGCAGCCATTATAACTATACTTGAGACCTTAGAACTTATATCTCAAGGTGGGTGGCGCATTTACGTTGTGGATGTCTATGGGCTCCNTACGAGAAATAGTTCTATATTACGACAACACGATACACTACAGATTATTAACAAATTAACGAGACACAAAACAAACGACTAACAAATATATGAAAATACAATAATGAGAGAAACGCGCGATCAGTACGAGGCTTTGTGGCGGACTGCCGGCGCAGCAGCCCGGCGTCACCTGCGATAACGCGGCTGCGCGTTGGCTCCTGATTGGCGCGCGCACGCATCACCAATCAGGTGATGATATGATGCGTGATCAGGAGCCAATCAGGCGCATAACGCATTTCGTGTGACATGCTATACTCTCTAGTACGATTTTGGTCCCCATAATTTTCATACCCCGGGCCTATATATGTAAATCGATTCTTAAGGAGTAAACTCCAAAAATCTTAAACATAACTACGATTGATTAAAAAAGAAAGCAAAAAAAATTACCTTGTAAGTCTGTGGACATATCCCGAATAGATACTCCTCAAGTGTTTGTTTGAGTTCGTCCGCGAATAATCGGTCATCTGTAACAGAAATATTAGTTAATTTTTAACCGGACTTTTTGGCGGGAAAGCGAGTTGTGAGATTTGTTTTATTTTGTCTATTTACTGTTTCTTCAGGCTTAAATGTGTAATAATGGTTGTTTTTTTAACTGTTTAATATCTGTGAAAGTGCACAAATGTGGGAAAATGAAACAAAGCCGCTGAACGTAACTTCTCGGGATCCTCCAAAAAGTCCACTGAAAAAATCTTAGTAAATGACCACCATTTTACTGAGATTATATTTCACTAGCGACCCGCCCTCGCTTCGCTTCGGAAACATTAAAACACACATAAAACCAAAAAAAAAAAAAAATTTTTTTTTTAAAAAAGGTAGCCTATGTTCATCAGCGACAATGTCGGCTTCTAATGGAAAAAGAATTTTTCAAATCGGTCCAGTAGTTTCGGAGCCTATTCGAAACAAACAAATCTTTCCTCTTTATAATATTAGTATAGATTCCATATCATCTCATTTCATTTAATTTCATCCCAGTTGATTAACGTCTCAAATTAATCATTTTCATTTCATTTCACTCCATAATATCATTTTTTCATAAAAATATGACATGAAAGGTCTCAATTACCAGGCCATAAAATACCTTAAAAAAATTTTTTTTAACCGACATCAAAAAAGGAGGAGGTTTTCAATTCGACTGTATGTTTTTTTTTATGCTTGTTACCTCATAACTTTATGCCTGGGTGAATCGATTTTGATGAATTTTTTATTTTTTATTAGTAAGCTGACGCTTCCTGTGTGGTCCCAGTTTGGTCCAGTTCTGATAATGGTATCCATGCGGCTATCATATAAGTCTTAAATTTGCATTAAGTACGAGTCCGGTAACCGTACGCGTCGAACTCGGCAAAGAATTCGACATGCAAGCTAACCTAAGGCATCGGCCCGCGGAATCTCTCGGCGGATCTCCTCAATGATCGATTCCGGTGGTAGATTCAGCGAAGCACTGCTCTTGCTAGGGCCAGTGTTAGCAAACTCTCTCAGATTTAGTCCGTGAGCTCACCTACCCGTCCGCGCGAAACTGGAATAGCCTCTTAGACTAACAGCAAAAAATGGTACAACTAAAATGATCAATCCTATTTAGATGGTAAAATTATTTAAATCAATAATTTCACATTATTCTACGACTGTTTTCAGTGCCGTTTTCACACTATTACTGGCTGTATGTGAAAAAAGGTCTTTTATTAAATAAAAAAAAAAACAACGTTCCAACTACTACTACATCAGACTTACAATGTCACATTAAATGTAGCTTTAAAAACGATAATTCGAGCTTAATCCTCACGATTTAAAGTTGAAATTCCTGCGCTGCTAATTTACACTTGCGTCTCTATCGTTTCAACAATCGAGTCGTAAAATATGTATTTAAAATCATCTTTATTATTCTTTATACTATTTTTAAGAAATGTTCAGTTTTTTTCTTAACTTCTATTACTCTGTTTGACGCAAGAGAGCGTGACACATCGTCGCCAAATTTCATGGGCGCATTGAAGTTGTTTATGTAAAAAAAAAATTTTTTTTCGTTTATTGCTTAGATCGTTGAACGAGCTTACAGCCCACCTGGTGTTAAGTGGTTACTGGAGCGCATAGACATCTTGAGATATAAGTTCTAAGGTCTCAAGTATAGTTACAACGGCTGCCCCACCCTTCAAACCGAAACGCATTACTGCTTCACGGCAAAAATAGGCAGGGTGGTGGTACCCACCCGCGCGGACTCACAAGAGGTCCTACTACCAGTAAAGTACTTCGAACGAATTATAATATTTTTTTAAATCTGTTTCATAGTTCGAACGACTTAAAAACTTGTATTCTATCTGTTTATAAAATAAAAAAATTGAGTTATTAATTTTAGTCTGGAAAGAGACAAAGTACACTTTCCGTCTCTTTTAAATCAAGCGCATACTATAAAGCTTATGGTATGCGCTTTAGAGCTTAAAGTGTTAAAATCTAAACTGAAAAGAGAATTCTTCAAATAAATTTTTGGCGTTTAAAATAAGTTAAGTAAAAGTTTAAAATTTTGAAAAAATATCATAACAAAAAAACTTCTTCAGCTATTCGAATGGAGTAAACTTAATTGAAGTTCAATTATAAACATCGAACTGTCGATGCTGATGCCAAATGAAACGGACCTTTAATTACAAATGTCACGTGTTGTTGCGATGTTATTCCTTCACCGTGGAAGTCAATCGTGAACATTTGTTCACGTCCTTACGGATCCATTATATCCAATAACCTTTGCATTAGACGCCTTCAGCTCTAACACTAGGAGCAAGCTTAGGAACCCCGGTCACCGTACTCGTCGAACTCGACAAAGAGGTCGACGTGCAACCTAACCCACACATCAGTCCGCTGAGTTTCTTGCCGGATCTTCTCAGTGGGTCGCGATTCGGAACCGGTAGTAGATTCATTCGCGAAACAATTGCTCTTGAGTTGTTAGGTCTCCTTCGGAGGCACTCGGGCAGTTGTTAGCTAATCCCACCCCTCCTGGCTGAGCCTTTGCTCGCCCACCTGTCCTGGTGAAAATGGAAAGGCCTTCGGGCCACCAGTAATCTTTCAATCATAAAAAAAACACTTATTAAGTACTTATTTCATCGGAAAAATTGGTTCGAACACCGGTACATCGCTACATACGAATGCACCGGACGTGTTATCCTTTAGGCCACGACGACTTTATAATTTAATAATATTGTATTGCTAATTTTGTATTGCTGAAGAACAAGTGCTACCAGAATGTGACCTATGAGGATTTCATAGACAGAGCGAAGTTGAGGAGTAAATAAGGAAAGCTGATCCTAGCAGTATGTGGGATATAGCTAGGAAGAGATAGAGAGAGAAAGAGAGAGAGAGAGAGATAGAAAGAGACAGAGAGATACTACATTAAGGCTACGTTCCGATTTGCCCGCGAAATTCATTCGCGTTCTCCAATGCTTACATCTTTTGTTTATCACTCGTAGCGTATAGAAATGCTGTTTTGGAATGTTTTTAAGGGGATTTAGTTCCGATATGCATAAGAGGTGGATGGATATATGTGCGTATTGTGTTGCTTTTCTTTTTTGTTTTTTTTTTGTCAACTTAAATTTCTAATTTTTGTTATATATTGTATAATTGTTTTGTGGTGGCATTTACGTTGTAGATGTCTATGGGCTCCGGTAACCACTTAACACGAGATGGGCCGTGAGGATCCAGTGAGTTCGTCCATTCATTTAAGCAATAAAAAATAAATAAATAAAAATACTAAAATGAGTTCACATCTTACAGTGCCCACAGTGCACATCGGAACATAACTTAAATATATGAGTTGACATTGGCGGCCATAGATAATACACAAAATATTGGCGGGCCGTGGGAGCCACGCGACGCACGCGATATTACGCCTCATAGATTAAGCTAAAAATAGTCTAGTTTAACTTATTCCTTGCTCCTAACAGTCGCGTGGACGACGTTGCACTGGCCACAGCTGGACAAATAGAAAATAAAATAACGTTATAAACAGTTAAATGGCCATCTTTAATTTTTCTTTTCCCGCGTTTTAGGGACTGTTTTTTTTTTTTCTAATAATTCTTATTTAAAGTTGTGTTTTTTTTTTCTCTTTATTTCGAAAATGGCAAAGAAGTTCGGTTTTAGAATATCAGTGTTGGTATTTTTGGTATTATTTGTAAATCAGGACAGTGCCAAGATAACGGACAATAAAACCTTTGATAGTTCCGCTGAAGTCAAATCTCCGAGGAAGGTATGTTTTTAAAGTTTTTTTTTAATATATTATATTTTACCTCACAATTTTCATGATTGATATTCAACATTTTTTGTCTCAGTTAATCATAATATAAATACAACTTAATAATTAAGACGTGTTTCTTCAACAGCAAATTTAAATATTCCGAGACTTTTCATTATTTCTAACAAATTACCCTTACACTACGACACTGCGAAAACACAAAATAAGTCGCAAAAATTTAAATAACCTAGCCCGCACATCTCAATATGCCTTGGCCAAAACTTCAAAGCAGAAAAAAAAAACGAACTCACAGGAAATATCGCGACAATAAATTTCAACACTTATTCGGAGTCCACAATAAAAGGTGACGCTCGTGCGATAAAAAAAATAATTCTAAAATTTAAAACGAGTACAATATTTCTTTATGTTTATTAATAAGTAGATATATTTTTAGTTTCTCTGGGTTAGCGTAGTCGTCGCGGCCGATCGTGACATGCTCGAAGATTTGGTAATAGCGTAAATATGGGTCTGCGGAGGGACTTCGGTTCCCTCTGTATTTTTTACCGCATGTTCCATGGGGAGTGCTCTGAGGAATTGTTCGAGATGATACCAACGTCTCGTTTTTACCATCGCACCGCCCGCCACCGGAGTAGAGTTCATCCATACTACCTGGAGCCACTGCGGTCATCCACAGTGCGTTTCCAGAGGTCTTTTTTGCCACGTACCATCCGGCTATGGAATGAGCTCCCCTTCACGGTGTTTCCCGAGCGCTATGACATGTGTTCAAACGAGGCTTGTAGAGAGTATTAAGCGGTAGGCAGCGTCTTGGCTCTGCCCTTGGCATTGCTGAAGTCCATGGGCGACGGCAACCACTCACCATCAGGTGGGCCGTATGCTCGTCTGCCTACAAAGGCAATAAAAAAAAAAAAAATTACCTTAGACTAGTGACCGCGCAGTAGTCGAGATTCGACTATAATCAATTGAAATTATAACATTATTATAGTTCTATTGTCAAACACTATTATTATATTTCGATAATATAATCACAGTATTCGCCAAAACTGCACTATAGATCAATAATATTAAAGACAAACAATATTAATCTATTTTCAATTCGACCACAGATTTTAAACAATAACAAAAGTTTCCCAATTGACAGTAAATAAAGAGAATATTTTAATGTATGTGTTGTGTCAAATACATGGTATGTAGTGTGTGTAATGTTTTCTTTATTGATCTAAAGTAAATTTTATGCATTATTTTAAAAAAATATTAGCATTCTGCACTCCTCCTCTATATTCTCTATAAATATGAGAAATTTCATACTCCTCCGTCCGCGCAATTTTCGTAAAAAGGGGTACAAAGTTTTTGCTTCACGTGTTAATTATTATATAATATTATATAGATATATAGACGTTATATAGATACCTACCTACCCATTCACTTATAGTCTAAGGTGCTATTCCAATTGCGCAGAGAATTGTGAACTCGCGATTTCACCCTGAAACAGTTTGCTAACACTGGCCCTAGCAAGAGCAGTGCTTCGCTGAATTCGCTTTAGGTGGTAGGACCTCTTGTGAGTCCGCACGGGTAGGTACCACCGCCCTGCCTATTTCTGCCGAGAAGCAGTAATGCGTTTCGGTTTGAAGGGTGGGAGAGCCGTTGTGACTATACTTGAGATCTTAGAACTTATATCTAAAGGTGGGTGGCGCATTTACGTCGTAGATGTCTATGGGCTCCAGTAAACACTCAACACCAGGTGGGCTGTGTACCGTCTTTATATGGGGGCGGAATGTTATCCTTCTGTCGAGGGTGACGCCTAAGTATTTGACCTTCGGGGCCCATGGTATGGGTTGGTCGTACATCATGATTTAAAAACTCGCAATAAGCGCGAGTTTTTTTTTTAACGTTCAAGATAGCGTAAAAGTTAACTCAATTTTGTATGGAGTTGGAATAGCGCCCCTAGCGGCAAACCTAAGCAAACATTCCAACTCCATACAAATTTGAATTAAACTTTACGCTACCTATAGAGAAAGTTAAAAAACTCGACTAAGCACACTGGATATTAGAGCGAAGTTATAGAATTATTGTATCGTCATCGATTCTTGACGCGCGTGCGAATTGTCTCCGTCTCGCAGTCTATGATAATTACGTTAACTTTACATACAAACAAACGTACATACATACCGAGCTAATAAAAACGTGTTATTAAGGGCGAATACTCAACGGTATTGTGGTAGTTTTCCAATTACAGCACAAGAGCGCATTATGCGACATAATGCTCAACGTTGAATGTTCCAACTACAGCAACGCTTCGCACAATCGAGCTCTCTCAAAAGTACTGCTCTCGCGTGATACTCGCAATCGATACCGACTCAGTGACAGAAAATTGACAAGTGTTTTTTCTTTAAGTTGGCATTGATCGAAATTTTGTTTATATTATCGTTAGTAATATTATTTAATGTTGAAAAAAATTGTAAGGCTTTCGTTTCGTCGTAGTTTCTTAGAAATAATCAATGTTAATTAAAACTGTGCTANACTGCTTCACGGCAGAAATAGGCAGGGCGGTGGTACCTACCCGCGCGGACTCACAACAGGTCCTACCACCAGTAATTACGCAAATTATAATTTTGCGGGTTTCACTTTTATTACACGATGTTATTCCTTCACCGTGGAAGTCAATCGTGAACATTTATTGAGTACGTATTTCATTAGAAAAATTGGTACCCGCCTGCGGAATTCGAACACCGGTGCATCGCTTCAACATGAATGCACCGGACGTCTTATCTTTTAGGCCACGACGACTTCGGTACCACCACTCCGCCTATTTCTGCCGTGAAGCAGTAATGCGTTTCGGTTTGAAGGGCGGGACAGCCGTTGTGACTATACTTGAGATCTTAGACTCATATCTCAAAGTGGGTGGCGCATTTACGTCGTAGATGTCCATGGGCTCCAGTAACCACTCAACACCAGGTGGGCTGTGAGTGATAAAAAAAATCAGTATTGTCACAATCAATCTACCACTGTATCGGAAAAATGACTCACCGAGAAGATTCGACGAGAAACTCAGTAGGTTATGTCTATTAGCTAGTTCGCAGGTCCAACTCTTCGGCATTAGACGGGTTCGACGAAAACGGTGACAAGGTGTCCTTAGTGAGAGTTTTTTAACGTTCTCGATCGCGTGAAAGTTAAATCAAATTTGTATGAAGTTGGAACGTTTACCTACGTTTGCCGCTAGGGGCGCTGTGCCAACTCCATACAAATTTCTCTGGGTTTTCGGGGCTTACAATTCTCGGGATGCCTGACCAAAAGAGGTTAGGACATGCTTAGGACGATGGCGCTACTATCTTGCCCCGTATAAGAAGGTACACATTGTTCTAAATAATACGTATTTAGCATACGTTCAGTTCATCGATGAAGGAAGTAACATCGGGTCGCTAGAATCTATGGGACCATAAAATCCCTGGATATATAAATTTGCGTTATAAATAAGTAGTATTGTATGTAGTATTAAGTAGTATTGGGCCGCCGATAAAGATCCGAACTTTTGCCATAGTACGAATTATGTTTATTAATAAAAATTCTTGGTAAGAAAAATAAGTTGATATACATAATGTACATAACACGAACCCTACCAAGAGCCGTGCTTCGCAGAATCTACCGCCGGATCGGAAACGCGACCCACTGAGAAGATCCGGCAAGAAACTCAGTGGGCTGTGTCTGTGGGTTAATTTACTCGTCGAGCCCTTCGTCGCAAGCGACGGGTTCGACGAGAACGATGACCGGTGCCTGTGATACCTAAAGGCACCGTTAGTGGATCGGGAGGATCCAAAATGACGTGTTTTGGGCGACGTCGACTGCTTTCCATTCTGTCCGCAGGATCGGGAATGTAGTTACCGGCGGCCACGATGAGGGGGTTCGTGTCGTGCCACTTTCTCGAAATGTCGCACTGATGCCGACTGTAGATACTTACTAATGGGCTCTAAGTCCAGGTCGTCGTGCAGGTCGATGTTCCTGACGAACCACGGGACTCCGATGGTTATCCTGCAAAAACGGGATTGAATAATTGAAGGGGTTTTAAGTTGATGCGGGCCGCGTGAACGAACACTACACTTGCATAGGTCATGACGGGGCGTATGCAAGTTTTGTAGAGTGTCACCTTATTTCTAAGGGACAATTCACTTCGCTTGCAAACCAACGGATAGAAACGATCCGAGTGCTTAGTGCGAGTTTTTTAACGTTCTCGATCGCGTAAAAGTTAACTCAATTTTGTATGGAGTTGGAACAGCGCCCCTGGCGGCAAACCTAAGCAAACATTCCAATTCCATACAAATTTGAATTAAACTTTACGCTACCTATAGAGAAAGTTAAAAAACTCGACCAAGCACACTGGATATTAGAGCGAAGTTATAGAATTATTGTATCGTCGTCGATTCTTGACGCGCGTGCGAATTGTCTCCGTCTCGCAGTCTATGATAATCACGTTAACTTTACAAACAAACGTACATACATACCGAGCTAATAAAAACGTGTTATTAAGGGCAAATTCTCAACTGTATTGTGGTAGTTTTCCAATTACAGCACAAGAGCGCATTATGCGGCATAATGCGAAACGTTGAATGTTCCAACTACAGCAACGCTTCGCACAATCGAGCACTCTCAAAAGTACTGCTCTCGCGTGATGCTCGCAATCGATACCGACTCAGTGACAGAAAATTGACAAGTGTTTTTTCTTTAAGTTGGCATTGATCGAAATTTTGTTTATATTATCGTTAGTAATATTATTTAATGTTGAAAAAAATTGTAAGGCTTTCGTTTCGTCGTAGTTTCTTAGAAATAATCAATGTTAATTAAAACTGTGCTAACTTAGCGCACTCTGCTGATGCATTTNAATTTTGTTTATATTATCGTTAGTAATATTATTTAATGTTGAAAAAAATTGTAAGGCTTTCGTTTCGTCGTAGTTTCTTAGAAATAATCAATGTTAATTAAAACTGTGCTAACTTAGCGCACTC